CCCCCGCTTTTTTTTTTCAGTAAAATCCATTAGAAATGTTTTAAGCATAGGTTAAAGGTATTGATTTTTGTAAAAACCAAGAAACTAAAAATTGTGGAATACTTCACCCGAGGAAACCTTTTTTAAAATATCACAATTAAGGTGGCTCAAAACAGTTTCCAGCACTTCAATTCCAGCATTCATTTCAATTATTATGCTGAGACTTAATTGGCATGTTGGCAAGAAGCGCGTGTCCGATAAATTAGAGAAAATCAACGACAAAACACTGCGCTTCGTTTACCGAGACAATAGCTCCTCATACGAAATGTTGTTAAAACGGTGTGGACAGCAAACACTGTCAAATCAGAGAGACTCGCTACGATACTGACTGCAGTTTATAAAGTAGTTAATAATCAGAGGGCGTCGACATTCAACTGCCATTTATTAAAACGAAGAGAAAGTCATTATAATCTACGAGAATGCCAACTAGATGCAATTCTGGCATCGCCGAAAGTAAATACAACTAAGTATGGATTAAAATCGATAAGATGTCAAGGGCCAGGCCATGGAACGCACTACCAAGCTGATACAGGCAAATAAGTAACTATAAACTGTTCATCAAGAAAGTATAACTTAACGTGGAGCTGGCCAGCTGTTGCACCTAGATGTTTGATCCACATTAATATGTTTTAAAACTTCTCTTTGTTAAATTATTTGTATATTCTATCGATTTTTATAGTAACCGTGCATATGCATTTTTAATATTATTCAGTTTAATTTATTTCATTTTTTATTTATGTTGTGACTAGACCTGTAAAGTGGCTTTTTATGTAGCTAAGAGTCCGTGACTTTAATGAAGTCTTACTTATTTTACGTTCTACTTCTATGCCTTTAAAAAAAAAAAAAAATTATTACGCATGCTGAAATTGAACCCCTAAGCCCTGATTGCGCGAAATTTTCTTAAACCACCGGCACCCTCGTGTCCTATAGGGAAAAAGAGGCAACCCTCTCCTCGGGGAGGACGTACCGGTCGACGAAAGTTCTTGGAAAATACGAGTACCTAAAAACGTCCATCTTAGTCTGTGGGATTAAGACCTGAATTGTTTGATTACATGTACTTCTTGTGCGGTCAGCGGTGGAATTGATCAATAATTGTCAGCTATTTGTCGGAGATTGCTCGAAATGATAAAAGTGTAATTTACGTTTACGAGAAATAGATTTCGGCACTGGTTTCATTAAGGACTGTATCTATCTTTATTTCGGTTTCAACTCCATTCAATGTTTACATTCACTCGATTCTAGCTCTGTTCTCTTAACTGCTTAGATTACAATAATAAGCCATTGTTAACATTAATATCTAACAAAGATTACTCATGTCAGTCTTGTCTTCTCAAACACATATATTACACGTCAATCATTTCCAACATTCTCTAGCACAAACATCACGGCTGCCATTCAGTTTCAAAAAGGCATCAATTCATGGTGAATTTGTTCCGTTTCTGGTCAAAACTATGCTAAAATTATGGTCTTCAGTCGTTCTCGAAATGCCCCAAGAACTCCAATTCAAGATGAAGATATTAAATGAACTTTAAAGGGAGAGTAAACTGTTATTAGTTTTTAGCGATTTTTCCTAGACATAATTATAGAAATGGGAATAGTGTTGAGGACTTTTTCAATTTGGACATTCCAACCTTGCGCATGCATAACCCATTACTCATACACTTTTTTGAAGCTTTAGTGTCCTTGCCTAATGCAGAGGAATCCAGATTTTTCGAACCTCCGATCGATATTTTGCATTCGGTTTTGCGGAACTCTCGATTTCTCGAAACAATTTCGGCCCCTTATATGCTTTGAAATATTGGAATTCCAATTTAATTTTTTTCAATTTCCAGCAATAGATGCAAATATGTCATTAGGATTTCAACTTTTCGAGCTGATGGTCATAGTAGTGTCTCTATAAAGCATATGACTAGAAAAAAAAATCTGTGTGTGATGTTGCGATTTTGAATAATTTACTTGGTTTGTTGATATGTACTGACTGTAATATTTATTTATTGCAAAGCCTTGGCTATTCTGCTTTTCGAGAAGTTATGCTTAAAATTGTATTATATGGCCTCAGTGAGAACCTAAACTTCATCTACTGTGGTTCGTGAAATTTACACTAGGCTGAGTGTCGAAAGTAACACGCGCTTTCTTTGGTTTTGCATAACTACCTCTACTCTCTCAACCAACGAGATGTGGACCAAAACCGGTTGTGGCTTGAATAAATCTATGGAACGCACCATTAGAATCATTTAGCACCAGGGTTTTCGCGTTATCGGCAAACCGCAAACGGCAGTTTCAGGTTAGGCGTTTGAGAGTTGACGATATGGCCTTTACCGGTTTAGCTATAAAACCATGAAAAAACTATTTCGCTTGACGAGGCGGCCATATTGAATTTTCGGAGATCAGCATTCGGTTTGATTTTCAAATGGCAACTAAAAGATCTGTTTTCACTCATTCCCTAAAGTTTACATCTAAAAATGTACGAAAAAGAAAAAAAAAACGTACAGGTAATCATTGACGTAAACTTATCGGCGTAAAAACCCGCGTTGAAAACGCCGAACGTCACCGCAGAGCTTGATCACCCGACTTCTAGTGGTTTGCCGTTCACGTTTTCGCTGCCGGAAACCGTAGTGCTAAACGTCACTAGTATCTACGGAAGGATTGGATATATTTTTCAGGCTACTTCAGTGTTTTTCTCACATATAAACCTACGTTTAGACAGACACGGCCCATCGTGCCACCAAACAGAATATAAGCCAACACAATCTTGGTTAAGAGAAGAATTATCTGGCTGCTGGGGTGCCCAGATTTCATACGGACCCAATGAGCTTCCGTCAGACCATTTCCAGTGGCTTTCGACTTCAATATCGGTCAGGCCGATCCAGTGGAATCGAAGGCTTGAGTTCGCGGCCAAGTCTTCAAGTAGGGATTTAATGAAAAGGCTTTCACCTTTGGATTCAATCTTCGCCAGATGAGCATCCATTGACCTACAAAATCCTTCTGCATGTTTCCAAGACTTGACTGCTGAGAATACAGCATACAGCGAGGTTTCAAATTGCTTCCAGTAAGCAGGGCATCCTATTGAAGAATAAAGTGGGAGTTAGCAAAACCTTTATTTTTCTTTTTTTGAGTTTATTATACCTGTGTTGCTTGGACATTTAAATCATAAAATGATGAGGTTCATTACTTTCCTTACCCCGATGTCTTCAACATCTGCTCAAGATCGTATGATGCCGAGTCCAGTAAAACATAAACAAACGAAAACCACACAACAACAAATTCAGAGCCATGTCAAGAATGTAGATGTTTCTAGGTTTCTGGTAGTTTAAAACGAAGCAACACAAGAGCTCAACTCTGTCGCTGTGAATAAACAGTCAAAATACGCCCCGCTCCACAAAACAGTGAATGAACGAACATCCTACGAAGCTGGTACCAGTCCCGCCATCTTGAAAACATCTTACAACAAATGGCGCCGCAAGAACTTGACAAGGTCCCGAGTATTGAGTCCTACGCCGCGGTCACAAAAAGAAACAGGGATGATAACGAGCTGGACTCTCTTAAAATCATGCCATTAAACGGTATTTAAAAGAAAAAAAGCCTAAGCTTGCTATCCACTGGGCATCGTGCTCTCGAGGGAGTTTCACAACTCAAAAGAAATCCATCACAGAAATACACAGGATGCACTTTCAAATTCCTTCTCCAAAGACAATGAAAAGTCTCAGCCTCAACCACAGAAGAAAGAAAGGCCTGCCATTACTGATTCAGGCGACGGGAGCTGCACTTTTAAGGATGAAGTAGACTACTTTCGCTCTGACTTCAGAAGTGCTTGTTTATTTGTCATGCTTGAATGAGCTTTCGTCACATGACCTCGTTTTGCATACTAAATGAGAAGTTAATTCCTTTCCGGTTCCGCTATTTTCAACAAACCGGCTACTGGAACAAATACACAAAAATCTAAAATTTAAGGTGATAAAATTGCGCGATTTGAAAATGGATCTAATAAAGTGGCAATTGAACTTCGTGTCGTGCAATTTTGGTCTAAAATGATACTTGTGATTTCAAATCGAACTCACGCTGCGCGCTTGTTTGATTTTGAAATCACGCGTATGATTGCAGGCCAAATTGCACTCCGCTCAGTTCAATTACCATTATTTATCGCGCGTGTTTCGCGTTTTGAGGCGGCTATTTTGAATTTTTAATAAGCGGTCTGCTAGTGCGAAGTCTGGAACCGAAATTACGGAAGTCTGAGACAGGCGGGAAAATTCGTAAATTCTCGGAGGATCCGATCGCTCACCGAGGATAATAATTCCGGTTCCAGGCCTCGCACTAGCAGACCGCGCACGTATTAAAAATTCAAAATGGCCGCCACAAAACAAAAACACGCGCGATAAAAGTAGGTTAATCTTTTATTAATATTCTAAACGGATGTGAGAACTCCCTGTGTACTAGCCAGAGTTCGCGTTCTAGGTGCTAAGCAAGCATAAGCTGGCTTTGGTTAATATTGTTCTGTGTGGAAAATGTCGAGGAATTGTTTTCCAGGGCCTATCCTTGAAGTCTTGTAAAGGCTTTTTCCCCCTTTTTTAAAGTTTGTATTGTATATTGTACTTCGTAATAAGAGGTGAGAGTAAATGAAATGTCAAATATGGCTTGCTTGGGCTGTCGCCTGCCGCTATTATGTCACCTTACAGTCAATGCTTTTTTCCACGTTATAGTCGTTATTAGAGAGCTTAAGCAAACCACGAAGACGACGACGACGACGACGAGAACGTCACCAAACAAAACGTATATTGATCAAAACAATGGCTGTGCACGCGCGATACAAATCTTTCTCCTCTGTAAAACAACCACGTGAAATTACCAAGTTCTCCGTACTCGGAGGCACGCGAACGACGACGGATAAATTGGAATTGAATGCTGTCACTGGATATTTAGTCCGAGGTTGTTTTTAGAGAGTCATTGGCGTTCTGAACAGATGTAGACAGTTGCGAATTTCGCTGGTGAAATACAAATTCATTTTTGACCAGACGTCGTCCTCGGCGTCGCCGTCGTCGTTGTTTATGTTCTCTGTTGTCTTATTCGCTTACATCGATCTACATTGTATGTGCGGCTTCGGTAAAAAGACAGTTGAAGTCTTGAACCTGCGAGCGGTCGTTACTTTCAGTCAGGTCATCGCCAAGAATTAAGCTTGAATCGAAAAGAAGCAGGAGCCTGTATACTCGAAGATGTCTATTGTGCCTTGATATATCGCAATATTGAATAGCCTGCGAGCAGGCTCTTCGCGTGGTAAGAATGAAGGAGAGGAAAGTGGAAGAAAAGCCTACCCGCACCGCTTTCACTTTTGACTCGGTGCGTCCACGTACTGACTGGCTTAGATTAATAAGTTGACATGGTGACGTTATTCAATTGTAATCGGCTTTTGTGATCCTGTGCGCGTTCATTAGTTCATTGACTGATTTTTTCGCACCGCTTCAGCGGGGTTTCTTGGGGGCGTCATTCGGCATTCTAAGCGATGCGGCCAGACCCTTCCTCCCTTTTTCCTTTCCTACTTTCTCTCCTCACGAGAAGCCTGCTCGCAGGCTTAATATTGAAAATTGCAAATAACTTTGGTGAAGCTGCATGTGGGTTCCTCACCTTTAGAGCAACCGTAGACTTCCACTCTCATCGATACGTGATTTTTCCAAGCCACTGGACAAAAACGGATGTATCTTGCCTTGATTGGTGGATATAGTTCATGATAAACAGCAGTGTCTTGGTCAATGTTTCCATCAAAACTCTAAAAAAAAAAAAACACGATATGTATATGTTACGGATCCAATCTTTGCCATCTAATGACTCGTTTAAAACATAGGTACAAGGTAAGTCACAAATGGCTTAATACATTTGCATTCATGCGTCGTCACTATCCCTATTAGGGAACTTAAGCACGGGTCGTTTTACAGGCAACGGCGACTTTAGCGACCGAAAGAGCCTGGGAAGAGAACAACGTCGTTCGCACCAAAATATAAACGTTAAGCAGCTACACGAGTTTTGCGGCAGCGACGTCGTTAGCAAACTCTGTTCGCTCTTAAAATAGGCTGTTTGAGAACATGTCATCCTTCAGTGAAATGAGAAACCTGCTTCTTTTTTTGTACGACAATAAAAGCATCTGTGACGAAGAATATTTGACCTTGTACGAAAGTTACAGTTCCAAGAATCCAGAATTCCCTTACAGTTCCTACCCAAAGTTTGATTACGACCAGATGGATGAATCAGAGTGTTTAGCGGAGTTCAGAGTGCGAAAACAGGACATAACATTATTGGTAAATGTTGTTCAATTACCAGTCACTTTCCGATGTCCGCAAAGAACAACTTGTGATCAAACTGAAGGGCTTTGTATGCTTCTGAAGCGCTTATCGTATCCATGTCGCTATTCAGACATGATTCATCGTTTTGCAAGACCAGTTCCTGAAATAAGCATGATTA